TACATCTGTATTTTTCTTTATCATTTTTTAAATTATCAATCAATCAAATAATTAATAAAATCTAATTTGTAACTTTTGAATTATTCCTCGGCATCTTTACTAAACACGAATAACAAATTAAATAAAATGTTTCAAAGTTGATAGTGTCATATTAAAACCATAAAAATGTACCTTTTTCACAATTATTGTACATATTTATTGTTTTTATTTCATGTAGTTAAAATGAAACATGCTATTGTTGTTGTTGTTTTTTTTTCGAATTGTATGTTTAAGTATAATAATAATCAATATATTAAAGAGTTGATCTATGCTTATTAATTATTGTAAGCAACCTAAGTGACAAACATTCATTTTGGAAAAAAGCTTATTTATCTGGAAAATATTTGTTCTGTTCTGTAATGATATCAAACATCTACTCCAAAACCAGGAGAGACCGGACAATAAACGTGTGATACTTTTCGCCGGTCACTAGTATCACGGTCAAAATAGACCGGGAGAGACCCGAATACCGATAGGAGTACATCCCTCTATAAATAGATTTTCGGAATATTAAGGTCATCAACTCATCATTCTATTTTAACATACCATGATAACCCACTGTGTACTACAAAATGATAAATAAAAAAACCGAAGAGACGGAAAAGGTTATTGCATTTGAAAATGTTTGCATTGCGAAATCCTCCAGTTCGCAATTCATTGTACATATCGCGACATTTCATTTTTAATTAATAATAATCAAGCACCCTCATACCGATCGGAATGATCGGCTTTTATGATGACCGACTAAAAGGCTAGAGAAGTTGCTGTCGCCCTTTCACAAAATCTGATTTCATTACATAAAGGGGCGCCGCGCTTCGGCGCGGACGCCAAAAATATATAGTTCACTTGTGGCAAGCTGAATCTAATTCCTGCCAGGATCAGAGAAAACATATAAATAGCTCGGTGGGGCTCAGTTGCCCAGCTCAATATTCAAACAATTTAAAAATAGATAGGGCCATAACAAGACTGAGGTTGGGCACAACCCTATTACCAGGGGATTCTGGCCAATATATCAAGAAAATGAGCCCCAACTGTGCCCAATGTGGAGTGAGATACAATATATCCCACCTATTGCATGAGTGTGACCAGTTCAGAGACCATAGAAATGAACTGCAGTCGGCACTTGGTGCTGTAGGTTTGGGATATAACACACAAAATATACGGAGTCCACCAAAGAAATACTCAGTACACATTTTTAAAGCTTTAGAGTTATTTATTCTAAACTGTTGTCTAACAGATAAGATTTAAACAAATAATAACCCATATCTCTGAGTATTTTAGTGATGGGGCTTTAATGTTAATTTATTTGTCCAAATACAACTGTGACCTTGATCCCAGCAGTCATATTAACATATGAAGTCATGATTGGCCTTTAATGTAAAATCTTACTTTTCTTCCCCTCTGACATTAAAATAGATGGCCCAGTAAAACCAAAAATAAAACCCAAATACAATTGAAATATCCATACTATTAATTAATAATAATTAACTAACACCATTAAAGGTCTACCGTATACCCCCGTTCAAACGCCCCCCCCCCCCCCCCCCCCCCCCCCCCCCCCTTCAGGCAAAAAAAAATTTTTTTGTTCCAAACAGAAATTGACAAAATAATATGAAAAGTCCTACCTTAATCTGATGATAATCCAAGTACCATAAATCAAAATCCGAATTTTAAACACAAACACTTCCTTAAACTGCTTATTTAATAATAAACATTCAACAATTTGAACAAAAACTCCATGTATTTTATTAAGTTTCGGCAACATGTGCAGCAGTGACATCATACGATAACTTGATTGTACATGAGATGCGTACATGACTTGTGTCAAGAATCAGCTGATTTAAACCGCTGGCTATTTACACTACCTAGCTTTACATAGAGTGTACACGTACAGGGGTCGACTCAAATGTTAGTTTAAAGGTAGTAACTGGAAGCTGCTGGAAGAGGGGGCGTTTAAAAGGGACCGGTAAAAATTGGGAACTTTGTTTTGGTAAAATGTAACGCCCCCGGGGGCGTTTAAACGGGGTTATACGGTAATTAAAAGAATTTTCATTAATTTGTGTGGTTTATTAAAAAAATTATGGTTATTTCCCTATACAGCATATCAAATATGTGGTAAATAGTCAATTTAACAATAAACAAGAAAATCTCACCAACTTAAACTCCCCCAAAAGGTAAAGTTCTTTATTTACAAATGCCACATCACTATAATAATTAAGAGCAATCTTTTAATGAGATAATAAAGAAAATCCCATCAAAATTCATTAAAAATTAAAGAAGATAATTATGGCCAATTACCTATGACACATAAACTTAATATTTAAATCACTAAATTTCAGATAATAGTACAAGGGAAGCAACTCAAATCTGGACTTATGGTGTCTATTTTCTAAATTTGCTGTTTGATATAGTTAATAATGGTCACAAAAAGATCAAATGGTTATAATATGATCTATTTAGAATATAAATATGTAATTCTAATAAGTGTAATGTAATATTTGATAATAGGATAGGAGAAAAATAAGAATTATAGCTAGAAAGGCAAATTTCTGGTATAAGTAGGAGTTGTCCTCCCACTACTTGAAATATTGGGTTATTATTGGTGTTACTCCATAATCATACTTAGTTCAACTATTAAGGAACATATAAAATGTACTACAATTGAATTTTGAAGAGAATATGTGGCAAAGTGTCTTCAATTACTGTAATAAATGAAATTCTATACATAGAACATAAAACTATAACCTGTCAGAGGGGAAATCAACACTATACATGAAAATATTGAAATCTGTTTAAATTTTTACCAACCTGGGTACCAGAAGACAGCTTTGGGGCGGGCGGAACTGAGCGTGTGTACAGGCCGTACCTCAGGGAATCTTCGACCCCAGGCTGTCCTTATAAAATATTTAACTGTTTTCATATGGTTGAAACACACATAGATATATTTGTAATTTGGTAATTAGTTTAATACCTACTCTAATGGTGCTATTTTAAGGGATAACTTTCTGTAGTAACTTGTGGTTAGTCCTTCCTTGGGTACATATTTCCTCCATGAATAACTTTAATTTGTATTGTTATATTTCATGTAATTATCATCTAGCTCCAAGAGAGTCAGCTTTATTAATGTAAAATATGGTATATTCATATAGGTGTACAAATTTTCCAATTGCCTGCCAATGGGTGTTGCCATCATTACTGTATTGTTTTTGTTTGTTCTATTCTTATGACATTAATTATGAGCTCCATTAAATATAAATTTTTTTAAAGTTGTAATAGTGTACAGGTCAAATACTTTTTATTGTAAATAACCTATAGTTCTTTTATTACATGTAATTAAATTTTAAAAGTGGTCCTAAAAAGTGGCCGTTAAACGGTGAGACAACTATATATTGCTTATTTATTTACATTTTTAATACATTTTAATACATATTTCTTAAATACTGACTGTACACTATCACTTATTTTTATTGTCCCTGGTACATTATCAATCAAAATTGGGTTGTGGCTACATGATACCTACAATGTCACATAAAGACTCCATTTTATCCCCCCTATCTATATTTTTATCCCTTGTAAATAATAAACATATTATGTAGTTGTCTCACCGTTTAACGGCCACTTTTTAGGACCACTTTTAAAATTTAATTACATGTAATAAAAGAAACAATAGATTATTTACAATAAAAAGTGACTGACCTGTACACTATTACAACTTTTAAAAAATTTATATCTAATGGAGCTCATAAATATTATCACAAAAATAGAATAAACTGGAACAATAAAGTAGTGATGGCAACACCCACTGGCAGGTAATTGGAAAATTTATACACCCATATGAATATACCATATTTAACATTAATAAAGCTGGCTCTCTTGGAGCCAAATGATAATTAGATGACATAGAACAATACCAATTAAAGTTGTTCATGGAGGAAATATGCACCCAAGGAAGGACAAACCACAAATCACCTTAAAATAGCACCATTAGAATAGGTATTAAACTAATACCAAATTACCAATATATCTATGTGTATTTCTACTATATAGAAACAGTTGAATATTTAATTAGGACAGCATGGGGTCAAGTTTCCCTGAGGTACGGCCTGTCCACACGCTCAGTTCAGCCCGCCCCATATCTGTCCCCATCAAAGTCTAATTGGAATATTTTATATAACATTTAAATTCTACTCTGGCACCCAGGTTGGTAGAAAATGTAAACAGATTTCAGTATTTTCATGTATAATGTTGGTTTCCCCTCTGACAGGTTATATTTATTATGTTTCTATGTATATAATTTCATTTATTACAGTAATTGGGGGCACTTTGTCATTTATTTCTTTAAAATTCATTTGTATACATTTCATATGTTCCCTAATAGTTAAACTAAGTATGATTATAGAGTAAAACCAATAATAACCCAAAAATTCAAGTATTGGGAGGACAACTCCTATTTATACCAGAAATTTACCTTTTTTAGCTATAATTCTTATTTTCCTCCTATCCTATTATCAAATATTATCTTAAACTTGTTAAAATTACATATTTATATCCTAAATAGATCATATTATAACCATTTGATCTTATTATGGCCATTATTAATTATATCAAACAACAAATTTAAAAAATAGACATCATTAGTCCAAATTTGAATTGCTTCCCTTGTACTATTATCTGAAATTTAGTGATTTAGATATTAAGTATATGTGTCATAGGTAATTGGCCATATCTTCTTTAATTTTTAATGGATTTTGATGGAATTTTCTTTATTATCTCATTAAGAGATTACTCTTAATTATTATAGTGATGTGACATTTATAAATAAAAAGCTTTTCCCTTTGGGGGAGTTTAAGTTGGTAAGATATTTTTGTTTATTGTTAAATTGACTATTGGCCACATATTTGATATGCTGTATAGGGAAATATCTATAATTTTTTTAATAAACCACAAAAATTAATGAATATTCTTTTAATTAGACTCTTAATGGTGTTAGTTAATTATTATTAATTAATAATATAGATATGCAGAAATGTCAACACAGAGACCACGAGGTTTAGATAACAAAATTCTTCAAGCTAAGCTCCAAAATCGGATAGTTAATGCGCCAATGAAATCTGTTTACTATCAACCAATCATTTCTTATCACTTCTTTTTAATTAGCCTTACAAATCACACCATTTTTCGGTCAATCAAAATTTACCTATTAAACGTGGTTCGGCGCTATCTGTCAAAATCGTTCCTGCATTGTTCTCCCTAACTGTGTTGGTCTGTTATAGAAGGCGTACGGGTATAAGCGTCTTCCCCCCTTTTAATATTTGTTTTAACATTATAAATATGATTTGCAATAAATGAAGCTATCATTAAACATAATTATTAGGGGTTTTTTTTGTTCCCTATATAGAAGACGTCCGCGTATAAGCGTCTTCACCCCTTTTTAATTTAAGTTTAAATTTTAAATACAGCTTTTTAATCTTAGTGTGGGATATAATCCCACCGTTTTCTGGCCCCATCCAGTGCAATTATTTTGCATTGTTTAAATACAGCTTTTTAATCTTAGTGTGGGATATAATCCCACCGTTTTCCGGCCCCATCCAGTGCAATTATTTTGCATTGTTGGGGCAGGAAATATTGTACTCACTAGTCACATATGCAGATATTAACTAAATAAAGTGTTTTCCCTATAATAAATGAAGCATATGCTCGCCCATATGGTTTTAAACCAGTGGCGAGGGTAAATAAACTCAACACACACACACAGTCTTTCAATCCATTCCACTCACTTAAAGGTTCCTGAGCTCGCTTTAAAATTGCTCTTTTTAGTATCTAATCATATTAAACATACTTTAATAAAATTATTTTTCCTAAAATTCGAATAAAATTCACGGAAATTGCTTTAGTATTACCGTTACAAAACCCGGTATCGCACAGATGATAGACTTGCTATCCGTTTAGCAGGTGCGACCTCAAACCGGAAGTGACGTATAATTATCCCTAGTGTAAACTGAAAGTAGTAACTTCACAATATAAACACGTACAATTGGTACTGAAAATACGAATTATGGAAGGTAATGTCTTTGATTACGAGTTGGATGATAATTTTGTCGTTCAGCCATACATGTACGAACCTGAACCGACAATTGAAATTAACGAGAGCGATTCCAATGATGAAGAATCGGAGGAAGAATTAGACTTTGATTTCGCCGTAGAAAATGACCGAAATCGAGAGAGGATTGGGAATGTTAACTGGTAATTTTATTATATAAATACATGGACATTATTTTCTTTTTAGCCGCGTAAGTTTCCAAGATAAATGGCTGTCTTTTGTATCTTTGTTTACGTTGATACTGAAATAAAGGTCATACAAAGATTGAATTATCGGCCATAATAACTGTCGTATACACACGTCTGTAAGTCAGTGGCGAAGGAAATACTTTGAACGAAGTTTGAGCTGGTATACATTGTACGGAGTGACATTCTTATTTTAATGATGATTTATACCTCGGAGTCCGATCAGTAAGATTATTCATTCTTTTTTTGGGGTAAAAAACTTTTTTCTTAAATGTTTCCCCTCTTTTTTGTTGTCAGTAAAGTCGGAAACTAGAATAAACATGAGACTAGCTAATAATTTAACATAAATTGAAATTGTTACTGTTAGCATCATAATATGCCTCTTAATTATTTCCAGGTTTGTTAATGTATGTTTTTCGTCAACAACATAATCTTTGCAGTAATGAATACAACTGAAATACATTCAGTGAATTAGTTAATTTGCCTCACAAAAACTACACTTCTTCACAAAAAAAATGAGAAAAATATGTGGAGGTAATGATTATGATATGTGTCGAAGGACATTTTGTCAGATCATAGTTTATGGGAAGATCTTTACCTTTTCCGATTCAATTTCTTCAAACAAATACACCCTGGTTTTATTTCAGGTGTGAATGCAGAAACTGCAGCGCCATGCCAACCGGTATTGAGAGTAAATGCTGCATGGAGTTTGGAGAGCTTTCTGAAAAGCTTGACGGTTTTTGCTGTATAACCCAACATCCAGGATTTGTGGGGAACTGTTTAAATAGGGATGTTATTGAAGTGTCATTTTACGAATTTCTTCAGCAAAATGGACCAGTGGGAGACGAGGAGCCAATTCATGAGTATGTATTTCCTACATACATTTGTGAATAACCATTAATGGGATATTAATTACAAAACACAAGTGTCAGTTAGCCAACATTGCAGAATTTATTTAAACAGGAAATTAATTTGAATTTAAAACTAATAAAACAATAAATGATGTAAATAAATAGAATTTTTAACATTTTATAAACAGAATAAAAAAGAAAAACAAACATAAATACAAAAGCTGTGACAGGAAACAGCATGCTCTACTTATTAGAATACAAAAGCTGTGACAGGAATTAAGTACTGGTAAAGGAAGTCAAAACTATAAAGAAAAAATCCATTATGATATATATTTCTGAATAAGTATCTAGAAAGCACTAAAATGTTCTATATTTTTGCACCATATAATATGGCTGTAACCATGTCAATAAAAGTTAAACAAACATTTCTATGCACTTGTAGAAAAAACAACTTGAAATCTGAGAAAAATACAGTTACAAAATTATGAGCAAAAAGTATTATAAAGTAAAGTTCATAGAGGACATCTTTCTTGAACAGATGTTAGAGTTATGAATCTTGTCAAACATGATGTATGAAATGACAAAGAACAATTACTTTAAAGGCACATTATGTCCCAGAAACAAATAAATTTGAATGGTCAAATCTGAATTTTACAATCTTATAATCTCTAAATAAAAGTTAAAGGGGATGTCATATGTGTATTTCCTGAAGAATGTAGTGATAATGAGATTATTTTGTAATAAATAAGTAGCAAAATGTTAACAAATACTAATTCACTATAACTGTATTCATTGTCATAAAACAAATGATAAAAAGATGGTACAGGTATGTGAATGAGTAACTTTTGTGATACTATAAAAGAATACAACAATTTTAAAAAAGCTTTCAAGAAATAAAAATAAAAAGCATTTTGAGGCATAATGGGCCTTTAAGTGTATAGTAGATATAATTTATATAAAAAGAATTCTTAAAAAAACTAACTATTTATAAATAAATAAATATAAATGTTCAAAACTTAATACAGGAGAATACAAAAGCTAGCATAATAAATCTTGTCCCCTGTAATAAAGATGTTTATAGTAAACATATTACTGTACATAGCCTGACTGGGCTCAACATTGTGCAGAAACAGAAGTTGACACTAAAAGTCTTTTCATTAACCTGTACTTTTATGCTTGTTCAAGTATTTAAAGAACAGGAAATACTTAAGTCTTTCATCCCATTTCCATTACAGGACATACAGGTATGTGGCCTATCGAAGACTTGCACGGTGGATTTGGCATCGTCTGGCAAAATATGACAGGCGTGTGTTACCTGCATGTGCAGTCACAGCAATTAGAGCATACTTTCCTTCACAACAATACACTGGATACAAATATGCCCGGGATTTTTGATGACATCTAGTGTCATGAATACCTAGATTTGAAAGCAGAAATAGCTTCTGACTTCGAGACATGATTTGCTCCTGATGAGAGGGGTGGGGGTGCAACATAAAGTTGATATGCAGCTACCTGTGCTTTCTTGTGAGAGCTGAACTTCATCCTAAGTCGAATCAGCTCTGAATTTAGCTTGTCAATGTAATCTGTAACAAGTAAACAAAACATCAGTCATTGATACTTGTAACTTTGTATATATTATTACTGGTTAGGAGTGTTTAAGAAATTAAAGTTGTATATGATTGACTCTTGCATTCCATGTTCATATGAATTGAGTGCAATAAAAGATAAACAAAACAACTTGTAGAAATCTTTTAAGTCATTCCTATTATTATATCAGTATATTGGTTATTCAATTTATAATTTAAACATAATAGTTTTCACCAATTTCTACATAAGCAGCAGAATGTTAACAACTATAACATGCCTTTCTCTATAAAATAAATTAATAGTGTTCAGTTGTGCTAAATTTTGATCAATACTACACATTGTCCTTCAACCTATAAAGCATAAATGCCATATGGTTTTGCTTTCATTTTTAGTCATTTATCACAGGGTGTCAAATATACCTTTATTTACCTCAGTTTTTGGAAAATATCAGAAAAGTTAGCAAATGAATGACAATTTAGTTCATCTTACCATAATTGCATTCCTCCATGATTGGTTTCACAGTATGTTTTCCACCTTTGTACTTTGGGTACCCTAGGTTGTACCGAAGAAGCCCCTCTCTAGTAACTGCCTGTGCTCTACCAGCATTTGAACATGTATGCAGGGCTGCTAGGTTGACTCTGAAAATATTTTTGTTGTAATTTAGGAATAGTGTTGAAATATTACAAGAAAGTAAAGTGCAAAGCCTGAATTGCAGCTATCTGTAGAGCAATAACCTTCTTTATAACAGCAGTAAAAGTTTCCACAAAGTATGCCTTCATAATTAATTTTATCTTTCAGGAGCATCACCTCTCAGCTGATATAATTATTTATTAATTATTAGGATGTTGCTCTGTAAAGGTTGTATCTAGTATATCAGTCCCAGATTAAAGTAAAATGCATGTTTGTTAACGTGTTCCATAAGAACAAATTTTTTTTCTCAACTAACCTTTGCTTCATGACTGCATATGAGAAACTAACAAATTTCGGCGCAAACTGACACACAACTTTATGGTGAGCTTCAAGGCCTGATGTCTGGTCAACGGGAGATAACTTTCTGATATCTGAAACTAGCCGCTTGTTTCCAAGTAACAACTGTAACTCTTTGTGTGCTTTTGAACCTTAAATAAAAAATATTTTATAAGCTTATTCATGCAGAATATAACATGGAGCCATTTGTCTGGGAATTTTAGGTTTAAGACATAAAGAAGCAATCCAGCTGGCTTGAAAATGTCTATTACTACAAACCATTCATAAGCATCTTATGTAGTCAGTGCTACTTTTTTTTTACAGTTGTAACAACATCATTTAAAAGTACTGATCTGATATACAAGTTTCTGAGCACATTTTACAGACATTTGTATTGAATTCTTTGGTTTTAAACCAACAATACTGTTAAGATAAATTGTTGACTAAGAAAGATCTCAGACATCCCTTCCTGCATTTTTCAGACACAGACAGTGATAAAATGTATTTGCCAATTTCAACAATTAATTCTTTTATTTGATACTTCATCATTAAGCAAACACCATTTTTCAATTACATCCACAATTCACAAATTTAAATTCTTACAAGCTTCACACATTTTGATAACAGATATGGCTGTCAAGTGCATTATTACACAATAGATGCACAGCACAAAAAATCAGATGCTTACATGCCATATGACGCCAATTAAGCAAATGACATCAGGAAAATTCTTCTAAACTCAATTTAGTTTAGTAGGTTTATATCAATTCTCTTTTTATCAGCATTCGACGTTGAACTGTGCATTATTCTACAACAATGCACTCAAAGATATTTACGACATATATCAATAATGACATGAATGTTTAAACGCAGCTATAAATGCAGCTTCTCTTAATGAAAGATAATCATTTAAGAAATTTGTTGAAATGCAAACTAAAGCATCTTTCAGGTACTGACCTGCATTAATCCAATCTCTTTCAATAAGTGTGTGTGTGTACATTTTGGAAATTTTCTGCCATGACCTTCATGTTTATTTGTGATATGGTTTAAAACTGATAGCCATTTCTGTTCAACCATTTCTCCATCTCCCCCACTTGTAGCAGCACAGAAGTAGAGATGATTGGAAATTGACTGTAACCATTTCCCCACTTTCTCACATCCTCTCTTTTTGGACAGTGTTGCAAGTTTGGTCTTCACACCTAAAACCAAGATCATATAAACAAGTTCAAGCAATGGCTTAACTGTTATTCACATTTATGTAACTAAAAATTTCAGTCTTAAAAAACGCTCAGTCATCTTAAGTTGAATGACATTCAGATATTTGAATGAATAAAAGTATGACTTTAAAACACAAGATAGAATTGACGTGCCAGTATACAAGAATAATCAAGGATAGAGATAAGTCAATATGAAACTTATGAGTAAAACTGTTCTGTTTGTGGTAAAGTTAAAAACAATGTCATTGTGAAATAATACACAAGTTAACCTGATAAATTTACCATATGACCCTTACTTGGAGTAAACTACTAAACACATTAGTTCGAACATTCCCAAATAACGTATTTATTTATCTATTGATTAAGATCTGAGATTTGAGCAAGTTCTTACTTTTAGCAACATGCCAGGTGTCAAACCAATGGTTAATTTCCTTCTCATTTTCTCGCAAATATTTGCGTACTTGAAGGTGTCGATCTGTTGTAATGTCACTCAATTTCACACCCCCATCCTGTACTGTGCTTATTGCTCTCTTCAAGCCTTCTAACTCCATAGCGTTAGAATTTTTCACTTCATTGCTCTGAAATAAAATTTTCCTAAATATAAAACAATTCCAAATTTGGTGATTTTATTATTACTATTATATAATATATAATTATTAACTATTGAGCCATTGAAAATCACAACTAGGCAAACGCCCCACAAGCAAAAATACTTCAAGTATATACTTCTCATTGCCGTGTAACTTTGAACTATTACAATAAATAGATGATATCTAAATCAATAACTATGACATAAAGAACAAAATGCAGCAATTATTTTTGTATGTGCATAATTTATGTTATTAACAGACTTTTACAGTCTATGATGTATGGTCATTGAATATGAGTCTCATACTATTTTTAATAGATTGGGAAAATCCAATCCAGCCAGTGAATACAATTTAGTTCCATTCTTTTGTTTGCAGTTATATTTACATCATAATTTAATAAGAATTTCTATTACTTAATCCTAGAAAAATACTAAATCTCAATATCTGACACAGATTATTTGAATCATTATTATTATCCAATAGAAACCTTTGTACCTTGTGTTGAAAACAAAGAAAAAGACCCACTGATACGGCACAATTAAAAGTGACCTTACAATATAGACACATGACATACCTGTACTAATTCTGTAGCTAATACAAGTCCAGTATCTAAATCCATCAGGGTATAGCTTCCGTACTTAGCCGTATGGCCAGGTGAACAGCAGCGAGCATCCCCTCCTACTCTTACATCCTGACCCCTACATGCCATTAGATTTTCAGTCTGTTTAGCCTTCCATGTGTTGGCAATAGCAGGAACTACAAAGGATTTTTGGTTTCGCGTAAATGTACTCATTGAGATCATTGATATGTTAATGAATCTGAAAAAATTCAACACTTTACTCGGAGAAGCTCCAGAAAACACAATTCCACCTGCTGCTAACAAATTCCCTGTTGGAGTACCATTTAGTTCAGTCTGACTGCGCCATGTTTTTAGATGTCCAGTTTCACATACACTCTCTATAATAATCATACTTCCAACAACTTTCTTTTTAATGTTATAACAAACTGCCGAACAAATATGGCACAACTTAAACAGCTGGAGTAGACAACTTTCAAAGACAATAAACTTCTTCTCTGCAACAGGATCAGATGTGTCTTCCATACAATCATGCCTAAAAATAATGTGAAAAAAAGCATCATTAAACAAGTACAAAATGTATGGACATCTGAATAACTGTAAATATTTATGCTGGCAGGTATTGCAAACCGCCTTTACTTTGAAGGAGATACCAAATGAGCCGCGTCACGACAAATCCAACATAATGGGTCTGCGACCAGCATGGATCCAGACCAGCCTACGCATCCGCGCAGTCTGAGCAGGATCCATGCTGTTCGCTTTCAGTTTCTTTACTTGTTAAATGGTCTGTAAGTGAACAGCATGGATCCTGATCAGACTGCGCAGATGCGCAGGCTGGTCTGGATCCAAGCTGGTCGCAAACCCATTGTGTTGGTTTTGTCGTGACGCGGCTCAAATGCTATTCTTTGACTGATAATAAATTAATTTAATAAAAAGGCTTCTATTTCAGACTTTAGTGTGTGTGTTTCAGGAAATTCATTAATACTCCATGATTTTAAAATAATTTTTATCAACTAACAAATCTTTGTTGGATAAGACCAGAAGTAAACATAGAGCTGTCATTGATTCAGTGCAAAGCATATCAATGATATATCGATATCAGATGACTAAAATCAACGATACACCGATATATTGATTTTAAGTTTTTAACTATAATTACTTGCCTGTCATTCACTTTCATACCTGTTTAAATGATTTCAGTTAAAACATGTTCTGTACAGTGTATTGTCCACTGCATAATTTTTTTTTTAATTACACTCTCGGATTCATAGAGTAATAAAATTCACAGAAGCCACATTATCAACTGTGCAAACTGTGTTATAATCTTATTAATCTTATATATGCTTAATAAACTTGCTACAATTCAATTACCAAACTGTTGAATTCTCATCATCATCTTCTTCATCTTCCTCTTGATCTGCTAGATCCTCCTCGGACGGTTCCCAGTCAGGGTCATTTTCAATGGAGTCATTGAATTCCTCATCAGACAACACTTCATTGCTGCTATCATCACTCTCTGGGAACTGGAAGCCCTTTTCAACCGGATGTTCTCGTATATCTGGCCCACAAATCATATCTTTTGTTTCAATGTTTGTTGAGGTCCCAAATTCACGCACTTGTACCCTGACTTGAAAGCTTTTGTTTTCTGTTGGTCTTGTGGCAACCAGCTGGAAAAGAACAAATGATCTATTAACATGATACCAACAATATTTGTCACTGTAGAATGATTTCAAAACTATGAAAGATACAATGTAGATAAAAAAAAAAGCTAGAGCTCATATGAAGATAATTCTTGAAATATTTGTGCAAAAGTTAAGATGTTTATGATAAAGAACAAATATTTGAAATTTGAAGAATGCTCTCTAAGAAATAAATGAATAAATAAAAGTAAAAATTAATACTTTTTAAGGAAGAAAAATTTCTAGTGCAGGAGTGATTATTCTTTAAAATATTGCTTCTTGAGTTATGAACCTTGACTCCTCAAATGTGGTTTGAGTTTTAAAATTGATACCTTAAAAAAGAAATGTCGCCTTGTGAACAATATAGTTAAGGATAAATGCCAGGACAAAAAAATGAAATATGAAAATAAACAAAGGGCAATAACTCAAAAAACAAGATTGCATTTGAGAAAAATGCTATGCCACCGCATTAATACAACACTAAGCCTTGTACCTTCAGACAATAAGATATTTTGATTTTTTACTAAATGTATAAATTGAAAATCAATGACCCCCAGGGCAAAGGCAATTTTGACCCCAGGGTTATAATTTAAACAATCTTGCTAGAGGATCACTACATAATGTTTCAGCAAAATATTTAACCTCTAGCATTTGTCAATTGCTAGAAGAAATGTGTTTAAAGTTTATACTACATGTATAAGTTTTTACTATATACATGTACATATAAGGAAAACCAATGACCCCCGGGGCGGGGCCGATTTTGACCCCAGGGCTATAATTTGAATAATCTGGGTAGAGGTCTACAAGACAATGCCTTATGCAAAATATCTAAGCTCTAGGCCTTTTGGGTCTATACAAGAAGGTATTTTAAGTTTTTACTATATGTACATATAGTGAAGGTTTTGCTATATGTACATATAGTATATGTACATATACCAAAACCTTAAAATACCTTCTTGTAAAGACCCAAAAGGCCTAGAGCTTAGATATTTTGCATAAGGCATTGTCTGGTAGACCCTTACCAAAATTGTTTAAATTATAGCCCTGGGGTCAAAATCAGCCCCTCCCGGGGGGTCATTGATTTTCACTATATGTACATTATGTCAATAAAGTATGAAAATTAACAATGGGCAATAACTCAAAAATGAAGAAGTGCCGAGTACCGGTTCTTGTGCACTGCACTTGGGGTCATTATAAGAAGCATGCATACCAAGTTTGAAGTCAATCCGACTTATAATGACTGACTTATGCTCTGGACAAGCTGACATGGCTTTTTCAAGGCGACACAAAAATATTTTACTGCACCAAAACTTTATTCTGAAATCTTGATTTTAATACAGTAGTATGTAACTCACCTCTGATGTCTGGCAGGCTCTGGAAGTTGTATTACCACATATCTCAATGTAATGAACCCTCTTCAACCACTTCCGAACTTAGCACCTCTTCAATTCGCTGTCTCTCTTCCTCTTCTTTCTCAAGTAGCTCCTGAGACTTGATGAGTTCATCAATACACTGAAAAGCGAGAAAAAGAAAACACATCAGACTTAAGCGTTCCTTGTTGATGTTTTTTTATCTTATTTTATAATTTTTAGCTAACATGTAACTGTTACACTTTTAGTTATTAAGCAGATTTTTGCTAAATCTCAGCAGTGGGTCTTGATGGCAACACTATTTAAGTGTTGAGAATTGAGTACTGCTCAAGCCTGTGCTAGGGGGCGTGAGGGATGTTGCACTTTATATTACCCCTCATGTACAGACTCAATCAAACCAAGTCTGTAGTTCTCTTGTAATTTTGTTGAGATTAATGCTACCGAGGGATCACTTTAAGCTCATATACTTGTAGGTTATAATCATAACGGATAATGAATATAATAAAACCCATGTTAATGATCAATGGCACCTTCTTAGGGATGTTAATTCTGCATTTAAAACTTTTAGTTACAGGGTGGCAAATGTCCATTATAAAGTCTCTTCTGTTGTCAATCTTTAATATTTTATATTAAAGGGGTACGGCCCATTGAATGTCCACAAAATATGCATTGGCTGGTAGAAAACATTTATCCTAAGTCAGAAATGAATTCTAAGCCCATGCCCATTACACTATATACTAATATATATCTATATATTAGTATATAGTGTAATGGGCATGGGCTAAGAATTCATTTCTGACTTAGGATAATTGTTTTCTACCATCAAATGCATTTTTTGTGAACATTCAATGAGACGTACCCATTTGTTTTATATTATTGGGCAAACATTTTTCCTCTCCTTTTATTAATTTCACCAAGAACAATTCTTTTCTGACAATGATAATAATAATGATGGCGATGATGATAATAATGCTGATGATTTAGAAATGAAATGTACATACTAGATTTATTTTCACCTGCTGGTATGAAAATTATCATATTTCACTTGGGGCCATGTTTATTTTCATACCATTCATCCTGTATTTATAGAAAAAACTTGAATATTGGAAGGGGAATTGTATGCTCTGTGAAAAGTACAATAGATTATTTTTCTTTTAAAAAACATTGAGGGGAATGGTCTGCCATGTAAAGGGTACAATGTTTTTAGTTATACTGGGAGTTTTCTTTCAGTAAAATTTATTTTTTACTGTCTGTAAATTTTAATTTCCCTAAATTATAAGACTGTTCTAGCATTTTTGTATGAAAAACATACTTTAACAAGATATGTTTGTAAAACATGTATGCCCCCTATCAGCAGCCAAATTAGTCAATGTGATTAAGGTTTATTATGCAAGACTTCTGACCCAGTGATCAAACAATTAATAAGGGTTATAAAGTATCTACTGTTCATGACCTTGACCTTTGACCCCTTGACCCAAAACTCAATAGGGGTCATCTGCTGGTCACGACCAATCATCATACAAAGTTTGAAGTTCCTAGACTAGGCGTTTTTAGTAAAATTGATCAGAAACCGTTTTTACCTACAAGGTCAATGTGACCTTGACCTTTGACCCCTTGAAACCCCAAAATCAATAGGGGTCATCTGCTGGTCATGATCAATCACCATGCCAAGTTTGAAGTTCTTAGCCTAAGGGTTTCTCTTATTATTGATGACGGAAACGTTTAACATACAAGGTCAATATGACCTTGACCTTTGACCCCAAAATCAATAGGGGTCATCTGCTGGTCATGACCAATCACCATGCCAAGTTTGAAGTTTCTAGGCCGAAGCGTTCTTTAGTTATTGAATCAGAAAACCGTTTTTACTTACAAGGTCATTGTGACCTTGACCTTTGACCCCTTGATCCCAAAATCAATAGGAGTAATCTGCTGGTCATGACAAATCACCATACCGCTAAGTTTGAAGTTCCTAGCTCTAAGCGTTCTTGAGTTATTGATCAGAAACCGTTTTTACTTAAAAAGGTCAATGTGACCTTGACCTTTGACCCCTTCACGCTAAAACTCAATAGGGGTCATCTGCTGGTCATGACCAATCATCACACAAAGTTTGAAGTTCCTAGGCCTAAGCGTTTTTAGTTAAATTGATCGGACAACCGTTTTTTTAACTACAAGGTCAATGTGACCTTGACCTTTGACCCCTTGACCCCAATAATCAATAGGTCATCTGCTGGTCATGACCAATCACCATACCAAGTTTGAAGTTCCTAGGGGCATAAGGGTTCTTAAGTTATTTGATCGGAAAGCATTTTTACCTACAAGGTCAATGTGACCTTGTCCTTTAAACCCCTTAACCCCAAAATCAATAGGGGTCATCTGCTGGTCATGACCAATCACCATACCAAGTTTGAAGTTCCTAGGCCTAAGGGTTCTTTAGTTATTGATCGGAAACCGTTTTTACCTAAGAGGTCACAATGTGACCTTGATCTTTGACCCCTAGACACCCAAAATCAATAGGGGTCATCTACTGATCATGACAATCACCATCTCAAGTTTGAAGTCCTAGCCTAAAAGGGTTCTTTCATTATTTGATCGGAACCTTTTTTTACTACTAAGGTCAATGTCACCTTGACCTTTGACCCCTTAACGCCAAAATCAATAGGGGTCATCTGATTGGTCATAACAAAAAACCAATCACCATACCAGTTTGAAGTTCTAGGCCTAAGGGTTTCTTTTGTTTTTGATCAGGAAACCGTTTTTTTAATTAAAAGGTCAATGTGACGCTTGACCTTTGACCCTTGACCCCAAAATCTATATGGGTCATCTACTGATCATGACCAATCACCATACCAAGTTTGAGAGTTCCTAGGCCTTAAGGTTTCTTTAGTTATTGATCGGAAACCGTTTTTGCTTTCATAAGGTCAATGTGACCTTGACCTTTGACCCCTTGACTCCAAAATCAATAGGGGTCATCTACTGGTCATGACAATCACCATACGCAAGTTTGAATTCCTAGGCCTTAAAGGTTATTTAGTTATTGATCGGAAACCATTTTTACCTACAAGGTCAATGTGACCTTGACCTTCTGACCCTCTTGACCCCAAAAATCAATAGGGGTCATCTACTGATCATGACCAATCACCATAACCAAGTTTGATGTTCCTAAGCCTTAAGGTTCTTTAGGTATTGATCGGAAACCGTTTTTTACCTACAAGGTCAATGTGACCATTGACCTTTGACCCTTGACCCCAAAATCAATAAGGGGTCATCTACTGATCATGACCAATCACCCATACCAAAGTTTGAAGTTCCTAGGGCCTTAAGGTTCTTTAGTTATTGATGCGGAAACGTTTTTTGGCTTTTAAGGTCAATGTGACCTTGACCTTTGACCCCTTGACCCCAAAATCAATAGGGTCATCTACTGATTATGACCAATCACCATACAACTTTGAAGTTCCTAGGCCCTTAAGGTTCTTTAGTTATTGATCGGAAACCGTTTTTGCTTTCAAGGTCAATGTGACCTTGACCTTTGACCCCTTGAACTCCAAAATCAATAGGGGTCATCTACTGGTCATGACAATCACCATACCAAGTTTGAAGTTCCTAGGCCTTAGGTTCTGTTAGTTATTGATCGGGAACCATTTTTTGCTTTCAAGGTCAATGTGACCTTGACCTTTGACCCCTTGACCCCAAAATCAATAGGGGTCATCTTTTTACTGGTCATGACCAATCACCATACCAAGTTTGAAGTTCCTAGGCCTTAAGGTTCTTTAGTTATTGATCGGAAACCGTTTTTGGCTTTCAAGGTCAATGTGACCTTGACCTTTGACCCCTTGACCCCAAAATCAATAGGGGTCATCTACTGGTCATGACCAATCACGAATACCAAGTTTTGAAGTTCCTAGGCCTTAAGGTTCTTTAGTTATTGATCGGAAACCATTTTTGCTTCAAGGTCAATGTGTACCTTGACCTTTGACCCCTTGACCCGCAAAATCAATAGGGGGGTCATCTACTGGTCATGACCAATCACCCATAACCAAGTTTGAAGTTCCTAGGCCTTAAGGTTCTTTAGTTATTGATCGGAAACCGTTTTTTGCTTTCAAGGTCAATGTGACCTTGACCTTTGACCCTTGACCCCGCCCAAAATCAATAGGGGTCATCTACTGGTCATGACCAATCACCATAACAAGTTTGAAGTTCCTAGGCCTAAGGGTTCTTTAGTTATCACTCGGAAACCATTTGGTCTACGGACCGACGGACCGACGGACCGACGGACCGACGGACCGACAAGTGCAAAGCAATATACCCCCTTTTTTTCAAAATGGGGGCATAATTATCAGTCTTGAAATTAATCTATGCTAAGAATTTTTACCTACTTTTAATGTTAATGAATTTTGAGTATTTATTATTATTTTTTTATATATATTTTTCCTTTACCATTTTTTTTTCTAACTGCTTTTCTTAATAACAATAATGTAGATCAAAAATTTTAATGATCATATCTCATTTTTTTTTCTAACTGCTTTTCTTAATAACAATAATGTAGATCAAAAATTTTAATGATCATATCTGGAGACAGAATATAAAGTATTTCAAAAGAATGTGGAATCTATAATTATAAACTCAACAGTTGGCCAGTGTGCCATATCATTTCTGTATATTGCATCATTACTTACTGGTTTGTTGTTTAAGCAGAATGTCAGTAAGTGTAACTTACTAGGTCATAATCAGGGGTTTATGGCCCCTTATGTAATGGACTTTATTGATCTATAAGGTCATGCCCTAAGGGCTGGTGTTTTATGACTTGTATATTCATATCAAGTTACCACCAATTAATTAAAAGGGAAGATTAAAAGATAGCTAATTTACTTATGTAACTTTAGATTGAAAAACTTGGTCATTTTATTGCAATTAAATTTATCATAATTTATTTGATATTATTGCATAAATTATATGTAACATAATAATAAGCATTTTCATTTTTTCTGAAGTCACCATGAATTTAAGAACTTAACTACTTTGAGTGAAGCTGTACTAATTTCTAATTCTCAGGCTTATTATCATTTTGAGCACCAAGAAATAAAAGTCCAAAAGTACATAGGTATTACAATGGTGAAAGTCAAAATAAGTTTACATTATGCAATTTATTCTTTTTGATTTTATAATTTATTTCTCATGAAAGATAAAAAAAAAAAAGCATGACCCAAGGAAATTTCTAAAACTATCCACTAGTTTTTTTTAAGCAGATTTATATTTTATTCTAAAAAAAAATCAATATCAAGTGTTGGTCAATCACCATTGTAACAGTCAATGTCTTTATATATAAAGTTAATTCAGATCAGCTTGAAGATGAAAAAAATGAGCATAATGTCACTTAAAAAATATTTTTGTTGTGAAATGGGTGAACATGGTTGGTTTTAGGCAATTTGTTGTAGTAAAGAATGAAATTTTTAAGCAATTTGCTTGTTGTGCATGAACCAGTTGCGAAAATAACTAAAAAATAAAAATCAGACATATTTCTGTCAGTAATCTTTTCAATCAAATACTTTTAAATATCAGCTTTGACAGCTTATTTCTTATAATATTTAAAACAAAATACTATTTATTAATCACACTTATGCAGATTGGATAAGGGGCCAGTTCATAGAATTTTTCCAGTTATTCTAGAGAGGGTGTAAAATAATATAGTAGACACAAACAGAATCCCTAAAGAAAGTCATGACACCATTGAAAATGTTGCAGGCTCGTTTGGTTGAGCCTGTTCATGGACGGTACTGGAAAGTGCAAGTTACCGTCCACACCCCCTAGCACCGGCTTAAGGAGAATTCAACATTTAACGAGAAAATGGTGAAATTGTGAATTTAGAAACATCTGCAGATGTGTTCAAACGGCAGTCATCATGGAACCTTCAATGCGACACAGTAGTGTCATTCCATGAAAAGCGGGTATGATCCCCAAGTAAAAGAATGCGTGTGCCCTAAACACGAAAACAATGGGCAGAAATAAATAAAATGGAATTTTGAAAGGGGATCTGAGGTTATGAATCCTGCATATCACAGACAAGACGTCAAAATACCCTGAGGGAGAAACAATGTATTGCATATTTTTCAATAAAAAACAATAATAAGCGATATCAAGATGTACATAAGGTAGGGGTCATTTACCCCTTACCCTACCTTCTGTAATCCTGCATGAGAACAGTCTCTTGAGTGGCCCACTGACTGAGCCCTTTCTGAAATTTAACTTCTTTGCAGCTCAAATTTGGGGGCTAAATGGTTTGGATGGGGTTTATAAAAGTGATCATACATATAATGCCTAGGCAAGCATAGGCGGTTAAAATTGTCGGAATTTCTCACAGCAAAGCAGTTGAATAACACGATCAACATTTATTTTACCACCTAGCAGGATTTGACACACGAAAAAACAGCCTTGAGCAGCTAATTTCCTCACCTTTCTAAAAAAAAAGCTTGAGAGCTTCCAAGAGTCCAGGGATGCCTGTGTCCCATGCATTTAGCATACCACAAAAGCCCAAAAATTGACCACAAGGGCATTTATTATGTAGATTATGATCCCCTTCGACCGACATATTTTCTAACATCAGTCAGTCTTGCAGTCAAAATATTGAGACTAATAACAGTACCGAGTATACAAAAACTATTTAATTAGTATACTGTAGCCTAATATATTACAGTAATTTTGGAAATGTACAAATGCTTAGATCTTACTGATTTTCTATTCCTTTTCTCAAAGCCTCCATAGGATGTCCTCTTCCTCTTTGGTGGCCCTAGGTGGCTTACTGATGACGGTTTGTTGTTGTTTTTAAACGCTTCAATTTCTGGAAAAATTGTAGGGACTGCACCTTTAACAAGCTGTAGTTTCAAAGTCAAACCAACTGAGTTCATTATACTCGGTGGATGTACAAATGACTCGTCGGTGTAATGTCTAGAGCACAAACGTGAAGTTTTCGTCGGCACAAATGGCTTTAACGTTCCGTTAACATTTCTCAATGATTTCACGGCATTTGTGCACTTCTTCCTCAAAGTATCATCCTTCGGGAATAGAAAAAAACCTTTCGTTCCACCGTCACTTTTGTTACGGCATCCAAATGCCACACAGTGCACCATGTTTTCCTTTCGAACACAATTTACAGTGATAAACTATTAAATAAAACAATAGTAAATCCTTTAAACAATGTTAAATGCACCTTCCTTTATTACACACACAAAATAACACAATATACACAGCTGACACTTCGCTATTTTGATGTATTCGCGGGAAATGTTTACACACGAATGACTGTCACGCAGTTTGACGCGGTCGATAGGAATATTCCTACGTCATCACCAAAAATGGCGGCGGAAATTACCGATCGCGTTACGGAAAAAAACGACTTACTAAATCACATTTTTTTTACAAAAGGAGTTTACAAAACATTTTTTCAAAACGATTTTTGAAATCTACGTATGAAATTTTATAAAAATTTGTAAAATATATGCAATTTTTGCAAATTCACCTTTAAAGAGATTACAATTGTGTAATCAGCCTTTTTTCTGAGTTAGCAAGACAAAAGCGAGTCTGAATTTCATCTACAAAATGTATACGTAAACGTCGTCTGCTTTACCGGTAGTCGGTCAATATATAAAAGTACCCCTGTGCGGGCCTCAAAATGTGCATCTGCTGCACATTTGCACAACAATGGAATTCCCGTACTTTTTATAGGCATGTAATGTTTTGTAAACAAACAGGTAAAAGTCTGTGTTATTTTTCAAATATCTTACCAAACTTGACAAAATTTCCAGATATTGCAGAATTCCAGCAATAGTATGAGATGGTGAGCTTGATTTGATTAAAAATTCTGATAACTCGATTTAATTACAAAAAGCCGAGTTTATCAACCATCCGAAGTTATCTCCCCAACCAGTATGCTCATGGGGGAAAGGGTTAACTAAAAAATTATAAATGTTACAAAACAACAATTTTTCACCAAAATTAGGTAAAAGACCACATGTTAACATGGAAAAACTAGATTTTGGGTGATTCCAAGGTTTTTCATCATTTTTTGATAACCTTTTCCCTTATATAAGCGTGTTTCGGCAGAAGTATAATTTATAACTATGTAATAATAAGATATTTCTTATTATTCATTTACCATAACAACATGCAAAGCAAAGTTAATACGTTATATATACTTTTGTAAAGTGGGTCGAATTGACCCGTGCCGAATATTAACCCGTGCCCAATTGGGCCGAGTTTACTCTTTCCCTTAGGAAACTAGCCAATATGACTGAAATACTGTTGAAAAAGGCGTAAAATGAAACAAACAAACAAACAGAAATTCTAGTTCTTACCTAAATCTGGCCCTTTTTTAAAAAAAAATATCCCAAGATTTTTTATTAACGCCGACATTTTTTTTCAAATATTTGAACAGTTTGCTGATTGGTTAATTTTGCGGTCGGTCTATTTACCCAAAGACACCCCAAGACTACCCCAAGACACCCCAAGACTACCCCAAGACACCCCAAGACTATCCGAAGACACTCCAAGACTACCCAAAGACACCCCAAGACTATCCCAAGACTACCCCAAGACACTTTGTTTAACTGATATGTAATAACGATCTTATTTTACAGTGTTCACGGGAGGTAGCTATGTTTTCACATGTACCTATAGAATTATCTCCCTTCTCAGGGATATCACACGTACGTGTCAACAAGTTATCAACCTAATGGCACTGATTATAACTCTATTTTGATGTAGTATAAGGTTATTTCTGCGACAATGTCATTTTATGAGTGGCGCATTTTTGATTAATTAATCGATCATAGACTGTTTTATAATATTGATTTGTATTTCATCTGACCCGTATGTCATTGAATTAATATAGTCTTAATGTTTCAGTAAACTTTTAATTTTTAATTTAAATTTTAATCAAAAGAAAATTTTCTATAGAGAGACAATCAATAAAAATTTTAATGATGAAAAAAGCCAATTCACAATTGACACTATTTAATCTATTTGACAATAAGTAACAAGATGACAGGTAGATAATCAGTGGTAAGTGCAACGTTACCTACCGTTTTTAATTTGCAATCACACGTCGATAGAAAAAGAGAAGAACATACAGGTGTTAAGTCACCTCTGCGTCAAATTGACATGTATATTCCCTGTTTTTTTAAAAGTGTCACAACACACCTGGGAATACCTGACAAAAAAGTGCATTATGCACAGATCGACATGTCGTACCTGGTATCCTGTACAGCAGTAATTGACATGTGTATTGCCAACTTAGGTGCAATTTTTTTTTCCGCACAAATCTAAGATTCTCACCATAATATCCCTATATATTTCCCAATTTAATTTTAACAACCATTATTCTGTATGATTAATTGCGAATTACTATAACCGTTATTTAAGCACTAATACAGTTTAGTTGTTTTGTTATAATATCAAACATGCCAGGTCGTGCACTTAAACGAGTGAAAGTGAATTATCCATGCAATATTTGTAAGCATACTTGTGATGAATCTCAATGTGAGGAACCCTCAGTTTTATGTGACGCATGTGACAATTGGGTTCATATTTCATGTGAACAGATTTCTACAAAGGATTTATGCTACCTAGACGGTGACCATCCATACACGTGCAGTGTTTGCATAAGGACAGCTGATGGCCCAACAGATGCGCTTAAACGACTTAAGCAGGTAATGTTTTGGTTTAAGCAAAAACATAATAGACAATATGAATTTCATATCTTATGAATTACATACAATGCTAGCATACATGTATATTATTAGTCAGATAATTTTTTGACGCGTTAGCGTAGCCATTGAACATCTGACTTTATATTCAAAATGTGAGTATTTTTCCCGCGCTTGGATATGAGCTCTGAACAATTGCTGAAAATAATAATTTGCATCATTATTATTGATAGACTATATGGTCATTTTAAAAGCCTATTTTAAGTTTCACATTTAAAGCTAGCATGCATGTATGTAATTATTAGATTTGTCGATGCGTTTGCTTACTCATTAAACATATGACGTTATCTCCATAATGTGTGTCTTTTTCCCGCGCTTCGATAAAAACCGTGTAAAATTGCTGTCAATAATATTCTGCATCCTAATTATTTGTTAGAAAATGTGCTGACTGGATATATAAAAGAGCATTTAGCCCGAATGACAAAAATATTGCCTGATGCGCTAATAAAGAAGATGACGTCACACGTTTAACGAGTACTCAACATAGCTTCTTGAACGTTGTTCTATATAATTGACATAATATATAGAGGATATTTGTTTGTTTTGCACGTAAGATTGAAATATAATTTCACTGAGTGAACACCAGATGCAATATTTTCACGAGTGGCATAGCCACTAGTTAAAATAGAATATCTGGTGCTCACGAATGAATTATATTTCAATCTTACTCATGCTTTTTAAGTGATTTTAAGTATTTTCCGGCTACAGTGAAAATTATATTACAGTAAAACACTGGAAAGCATTAAATAAGACATATTATATACATAATATAGGGAAACAGGGTTTTTTTTTCAATTGTCTAAGGCGTAAACTATAATCTTTTTGAAAATTAATTTCTTTCTCTAGCGTTCTGAATTTTAATATTAAAATGTACGTATTGGTTCACCATAAAGTCCATCATGATTGTTGCCTTTTTTACTGAGAAAATTAGAAAGTATCATTTCTATGTATAAATTCGTTATAAAGATTTCTGACAGGTTATATGGGCGTATATAAACGGTTATTTGCAATACAACCGTTTATATACGGCAGTTTAACCTGTCAAACCTATTATTAATTATTATCGAATATCAAATGTAACTGTAAATTCAATTCTAACCCATAATTAATATCTTATCATTGTATATTTCATAGGTTTCCCGTGCCGATGTCAAATTGACTGCATTCACAGCCAGTCGTGAAAAGCAATACATTGATAATTTTGACTACATTGGAAAGTCAACCATTTCATCAGATTTTGTGGAGATAGATAGGAACGCGCAAGAAATAATGAAAAAAGTGGTTTAAGCAAGTATGGTGTTCCATCCTTAACGACTGGAGATGGCAACTTTTAATTCAGCATCAATCGTACTTACTGGTAACGAACTTTTATCAAATGAGCTAAGATTACGAACAGCTATAGAAATGGCAGAGAATTGTTCAATAATCGACTCTCAAAACCATTGGAAGTAAAAAATAAATAATATCATTATGTTTGTTAATAAAAGTGAATTCAAGTGTCACTGTTTGTTTCCATGCCATTTTGTTGAAAAAAATAGACTTTGTTTACATATTTTGTTAAAAAAAAGAGATTAAATGTTCTTATATTGTGTTGAAATCATTGTTTTTTATTCCAAGTGAAATATATTTTTAAAATTATACATTTGTTAATTGACCATTGTACTTTTCCTACTTTTCAAACATTAATTGTCGCTGCAATGTAATTCAAGCTATATTTTAGTTAACACATACAAACACATACAAACAAACATATTATTAAAATATGATTGAAGAAACACAAGAATTACATCTTATTTTTTTTATTATGCCCCCGCCATATAATGGCAGGGGCATATAGTGTTACTCTGTTCCGTCATTCCGTCATTCCGTCCTTCCGTCATTCCGTCCTTCCGTCCTTCCGTCATCATCAGTTTCCGTTCATTATCTTAATAACCCTTGCACATATTGAACTCAAATTTGACATATGGATATGTCATGAGAAAATACAGGTCAAGTTCGAAATTGGTCATGGTTCGGTGATTTTTGGCAGAGTTATGCCCCTTTTACATTGAAAATAATATGAAATTTTCAGTTTCCGTTCATTATGTTCCAAACGGTTCAAAACATTCAATTTAAAATTGACATATGGATATGTCATGAGAAAATACAGGTCAAGTTCGAAATTGGTCATGGTTTGATGATTTTTGGCAGAGTTATGCCCCTTTTACTTTGAAAATAATATGAAATTTTCAGTTTCCGTTCATTATCTCCCCAACGGTACAACACATTCAACTCAAACTTGACATATTGATATGTCATGATAAAATACAGGTCAAGTTCAAATTTGGTCATGGTTCGATGATTTTTGGCAGAGTTATGCCCCTTTTACTTTGAAAATAATATGAAATTTTCAGTTTCCATTCATTAACTCCCCAATGGTACAACACATTCAACTCAAACTTGACATATGGATATGTCAAAGGAATGCGCAGGTCAAGTTCAAATTTGGTCATGGTTCAATGATTTTTGGCAGAGTTATGCCCCTTTCACTTTGAAAATAATATGAAATTTTCAGTTTCCGTTCATTATCTCCCCAATCGTACAACACATTTAGCTCAAACTTGACATATCGATACGTCAAAGGAATGCGCAGGCCAAGTTCAAATTTGGTCATGGTTCGATGATTTTTGGCAGAGTTATGCCCCTTTTACTTTGAAAATAATATGAAATTTTCAGTTTCTGTTTATTATCTCCCCAAACAGTATTAAACATTCAACTCAAATTTGACATATTGATACGTCAAAGGAATGCGCAGGTCAATTTCAAATTTGGTCATGGTTCGATGATTTTTTGGCAGAGTTATGCCCCTTTCACTTTAAAAATAATATGAAATTTTCAGTTTCTGTTTATTATCTCCCCAACAATATTACACATTCAACTCAAATTTGACATATGGATATGTTTTTGGAATGCGCAGACCAAGTTCGAATCTGGTCATGGTTCAATGATTTTTGGCAGAGTAATGCCCCTTTCACTTTGAAAATGATATGAAACAGTTTCTGTTCATTATCAACCAAACAGTGTTACATATTCAACTCAAAATTGACATATGGATATGTCAAAGGAATGCGCAGGTCAAGTTGGAATTTGGTCATGGTTCGATGATTTTTTGGCAGAGTTATGTCCCTTTCACTTTGAAAATAATATAGATACATCTTAGGAATAAGCAGTTTAAGTTTGAATTTGGTTGTAGTTCAATGATTTAAGACAAACTTATCTTTCCTGAATGTTGGAAAAATTTTGAACTTTCAGTTTCAGCACTCATACTTTTGTGGAAATGTATATAGCCATTATTATGTTGGCTACAAATATGCAATATGCTATTTTTAAAAGGTTAAGACTGAATAATTTCAGTGCCTTGAACATTGTATAAAAATGGTTAAGACTGAATAATTTCAGTGCCTTGAACATTGTATAAAAATGGTTTGTGTTAACATTGAAAAGTTTTAAGGGCTTTGAACTTAGAATGAAAAAAATAATTTGTGCAAACAAATTTGGAACTAAATATTATAACATTTGAAATTTTGGCTGCATGCGGGGGCATCCGTGGCATGATGACACATTTCTAGTTCCAACCTGTTTCACAACTCCATGGAGTTAATTCCAATAATGATATCGGTTGTACCTAGTTACTTCCCTGAGATTATCTCCTACAGGGTCGTATATTTATAAAACTTTTCCAATTTATAAGTTAATTTCCATTAAGAAGATTCTTGGAATGTCTTGCGGTAGTCTTTACGTGTCTTGGGGTAGTTTTTGGGTGTGTTGGGATAGTCTTGGGGTGTCTTAAGGTGTCTTGGGGTAGTCTTAGGGTGTCTTGGGATAGTCTTCGGGTGTCTTGGGATAGTCTTGGGGTAGTCTTTGGGTGTCTTGGGGTAGTCTTGGGGTGTCTTTTGGTGTCTTGGGGTAGTCTTGGGGTGTCTTGGGGTAGTCTTAGGGAGTCTTGGGATAGTCTTGGGGGAGTCTTGGGGTGTCTTGGGGTAGTCTTGGGGTGTCTTAGGGTGTCTTGTGGTAGTCTTTGGGTGTCTTGGGATAGTCTTGGGGTAGTTTTTGGGTGTCTTAAGGTGTCTTGGGGTAGTCTTAGGGTGTCTTGGGATAGTCTTGGGGTGTCTTGGGGTAGTCTTAGGGTGTCTTGGGGTGTGTTAGGGTGTCTTGGGGTAGTCTTTGGGTGTCTTGGGATAGTCTTGGGGTGTCTTGGGATAGTCTTGGGGTGTCTAAGGGTGTCTTGGGGTAGTCTTTGGGTGTCTAAGGCTGTCTTGGGATAGTCTTGGGGTAGTCCTGGGGTGTCTTGGGGTAGTCTTGGGGTGTCTTGGGGTAAATAGACCGACCCATGTAACCCCACCTTGAGTTTGTTGTCGGCATTGGGTCTTTGAAGTTGACAAGTGCAGATAAAAAAATAATTATCAGGCAATAGAATCTCAAAGAATCACAGATTAGCAATGTTTGAAACTATTATTTTTCATGTAACTGTGATCTATGTTGTTGCAAAAATAATATAAACTAGCTTTGTCTCACAGTAAGCAACAAACACTGAGGAGGGATTGAAAGAGGTAAAAATCCGTTTCAAAATAATACCTGTTTTAACACCCAAAGGGCCAAAATAATTAGGTTCAATTATTATCCAGTAGTCAGTACACTCCAAAAAACCTTTGTATCATAGTTTAGGGACCTTTCCGTTGAAAAAGTGTCAGAGTTAAATCGTATACATATACATGCACAGTGCGGTAACTGGAGTGCAGGTATCAGTTACCCGCACTCCAGATAATGCCCGTTGATTGGTTCATTTTTGCTGGGGTTTACTTATTGTGACGCAGAGAAAGGGAAAGGGGCAGAAATATCATATTCAAATGCCCGTTCATTGGTTAATTTTTTCTGGGGTTTCATATTATGACATCAGGGAACGTGCTGTCATGTTTGACTATGATACAAAAGAGAAAGAACACCAAAACACTCGGCAATCTGATTTATACTCGGGGGCTACGCCCCCTCGTACAAATCAGATAGCCTCGTGTTTCGGTGCTCTTTCTATTACTTACACAACTCTGCATCAATTACACAGTTTACATGTACATACAGGTATCAAGTGACGTAATGTCTAGACTCCCTACTGCCATATAAGGCAATCGATGTGTGTTAACAAATTGAGGTGTGAAGTACATAAAAACTGGATTAAGATTTGTGTCAGATTTTTTTTTTACTGTTTATGAAGTGTCAACGGAAAATTTTTAAGACAGCATTTTTTTATTTCACCTTTCTATGGCTACACAAATTCTCCTTGAAAATGTTGGTAACCTTTCATTTAAAGAGAAAAATCTTGACTGTTAAAGTATATTTATTTTAATGATTTTGAATGCATCAAATTCAAGTTATTTGTACTAAAATGATTCAATATATATCTGATATAAAAATGTATTTTATATGATAAACATGCAATTATTAATTATATTTGTTTTACAGGGATTCTTATTTTATTTACATCAAATATTTAAAGTACCTACTGGTTGGGGACCACCAAAACCGGACAACCACCAAACCCGGACAGCCCTGAAAATGCTTAATTTAGTATTTTCTTTGTTCAGTGGTTGTCAGTCACTTTTTCATTAACAATAAATGCACATTTCTTCTAAAATTAAGTAAATAAATTTATTTCAACCTCCGTAAATGGTTATATTTTAATGTCTATTTCTACAATGTTGACGTTGAAATTTGGGGGGTCAAGAAAGCATTACCTGACCTCATATACCAGCTATAATCTAGAGGCGGTCTCACTAAAAAGCGTCCCGAAGAAATTTAGCGTCCCGAAGCGTCCTGAAGCGTCCCGAAGCATTATTGTTAATTTAAACAGCCAGAAGGGTTATATTTATTGAAAATGAGCTATATTATTATGTCCTGAGGTATTTATGGTAGAAAAAAATAATCTTAATTAACATTTTTTCTATTTATATAAAAAAACCTAACATACCTTTGACTCCAGTTCACTTGCTCAAAAACCACCGTATACCGACAAAGCGTCCGGAAGGTTTAATGTTTATCTAAACCAAAATTATTTTGAAATACTTCGTAATTTTAGTTAATGAAATAGTTATGTAAGTAAAAATAATAAGAAAAATGTTTTCCATACATAAAATTATCTTTATAGCGCCCGAAATCGTATGTCTATCCACGCATAGTTCAAGTCGCGTACTGACTAACATAGCGTCCCGAAACGTATTCATGGTTTTTATCTTTAAAAGCAAAGATAAATCGTAATTAAGTTCTTTTACGATATGTGTAAGTGACATAAAGAAGGAAATAAACATTTCATCCACAAAATATTATTATACAGCGCGAAAACTGACGTTTCCGATGTTGTGCTAACAAAGCGTCCCGAAGAAATTTAGCGTCCCGAAATGTCATGAAGCGTCCCGAAGCATTAATTTTAATTTAAACAGTCAGAAGGGTTATATTTCTTGTAAATAATGTATATTATTATGAATTGAGGTATTTATGGTAAAAAAAAAATAATCTTACTTATCATTTTTTCTATTTATATAAAAAAACTAACATACCTTCGACTCCAGTTCACTTGCTCAAAAACCACCGTATACCGGCAAAGCGTCCGGATGGTTTAATGTTTATCTTAACCAAAATTATTTTGAAATACTTCGTAATTTTAGTTAATGAAATAGTAATGTAAGTAACAATAATAAGAAAAATGTTTTCCATACATAAAATTATCTTTATAGCGCCCGAAATCGTACGTCTTTCCACGCATGTTTCAAGTTGCTAACTGACTAACATAGCGTCCCAAACGTCTTCATGGTATTTTTTTTATCCAAGCAAAGATAAATCGTAATTAAGTTCTTTTATGATATATGTAAGTGACATAAAGAAGGAAATAAACATTTCATCTACAAAATATTATTTTACAGCGGGAAAACTGACGTTTCCCATGTTGCGCTAACAAAGCGTCCCGAAGAATTTAGCGTCCCGAAATGTCATGAAGCGTCCCGAAGCATTAATTTTAATTTAAACAGTCAGAATGGTTATATTTATTGTAAATAATGTATATTATTATGTATTGAGGTATTTATGGTAGAAAAAAATAATCTTACTTATCATTTTTTCTATTTATATAAAAAAAACTAACATACCTTCGACTCCAGTTCACTTGCTCAAAAACCACCGTATACCGACAAAGCGTAATGTTAATTAAGATTATTTTTTTCTACCATAAATACCTCAGGACATAACAATATAGCTCATTTACAATAAATATAACCCTTCTGACTGTTTAAATTAAAATTAATGCTTCGGGACGCTTCATGACATTTCGGGACGCTAAATTTCTTCGGGACGCTTTGTTAGCACAACATCGGAAACGTCAGTTTTCGCGCTGTATAATAATATTTTGTGGATGAAATGTTTATTTCCTTCTTTATGTCACTTACACATATCGTAAAAGAACTTAATTACGATTTATCTTTGCTTAGATAAAAATAAAAACCATGAATACGTTTCGGGACGCTATGTTAGTCAGTACGCGACTTGAACTATGCGTGGATAGACGTACGATTTCGGGCGCTATAAAGATAATTTTATGTATGGAAAACATTTTTCTTATTATTTTTACTTACATAACTATTTCATTAACTAAAATTACGAAGTATTTCAAAATAATTTTGGTTTAGATAAACATTAAACCTTCCGGACGCTTTGTCGGTATACGGTGGTTTTTGAGCAAGTGAACTGGAGTCAAAGGTATGTTAGGTTTTTTTTATATAAATAGAAAAAATGTTAAGATTATTTTTTTCTACCATAAATACCTCAGGACATAATAATATAGCTCATTTACAATAAATATAACCCTTCTGGCTGTTTAAATTAACAATAATGCTTCGGGACGCTTCAGGACGCTTCGGGACGCAAAATTTCTTCGGGACACTTTTTAGTGAGACCCTGAGTATAATCATTTGCAGAGTAAACAATAGAATATCCAAAACTTCAGCATTTGTTGCTGAAATATTGTACATCATGTTAAAAATCTAAAATCAAAACACCCAAGCTTTTATCTGAATTAAATCGCGTGATGTACATATTTGTCCGGACACATGGTACTGTAGTGTAGACATTTTAGGTAATTTTGATACCCTCCTTGTCAAGCCTCAGATATAAGTGTCAATACAATCAGAAATAAACAAACTAGTTTGTTAGTTAGGAGAAGAACCTAGCTGAACTGTGTCAAATTTTAAGGTCTCTAGGTTAAAAATTATTAAATCAGTACGGAAAAATGTTCAAAAAGTGTCCGGTTGATGGTCCCCGACCAGTATGTTTATTTGCAATTGTTTACATATTATTCTTTCACAGTCATGTATGTTAAAACTTGAAAATATCAAATGATCTTGTAGAAATGTTCATTTTCATAATAAAATGGGGGAAATTTAATTAAATGTTTGCATCGTTTTAAGATTACGACTGGTTTGTGCTTGCTTAAAAATCCCCCTACTTTTGGTCCAAATCCCCTGCTTTTTAAAGCCAAATCCCCCTATCTGGGTGGCTGGAAATATGGCATGTATGATGTACTAGTATTTTATAATGTTTAGGTGCATATATGTATCACAGGCATCTGGCACATTTGCTTTGCCAATAATGAGCTGATTATCATAACATAATCTCCCTTTATCGTCAATAATAACAAAATGACTATCCAGTACCCGTTTACTATATAAAATATATAAAAGGTATATAACTAGCGGTAGTGTAATACTCCGACACTGTCAACATTTTGCTCACGCATTTTTTAAAATTAGACATATTTTCATTTTTGTATGTGCAAACATAGTATATATTTTGTGATATTTATTCATAATAATATTTCAGGTGCTGGTATTTCGACAGAGAGTGGTATACCTGACTATAGATCTGAGGGAGTTGGCCTGTATGCAAGGAGTACTAACAGACCCGTGCAGTACCAGGACTTTGTGAAAGACCCAAACATAAGGCAGAGGTAATATTTACAATAATGTTATTTAGTTTAATTTTTAGCTCGACTATTGGATAAGAATAAGTAGAGCTATTGTAGTCACCTGAGCGTCGGCGTCGGCGTTGGTGTCCACGTCGGCGTAACCACTTATGTTAAAGTTTTTGTAATAGTTCAAATATTTTCAAAGTCCATTGACATATGGCTTTGAAACTTTGCACACTTGTTCACCATCATGACACCAACCTGTAGACAGGAGGAGGTAACTTTATCAAGCATTTTGACAGAATTATGCCCCTTTTTGTGCCCCCACGTTAGTGGCGGGCATTTAGATTTACCCTTGTCCGTCCGTCCTTCCGTCCGTCCGTCCTTCCGTCCGTCCTTCCGTCCGTCCGTCCGTCCGTTCACTTTTGTGTCGCACGTAACTCAAAAAGTATTTGACCTAGGGTCATGAAACTTTACAGGAATGTTGATCAGCATGTGTAGTTGTGCACCTGGGTATTTTCGTTTGGATATTTTTAGTATTTTCAGAGTTATTGCCCTTGACTTAGTAAAATTTTGCAATTTTCAACTTGTGTCGCATGTAACTCAAAAAGTATTTGACCTAGAGTCATGAAACTTTACAGGAATGTTGATAAGCATGTGTAGTTGTGCACCTGGGTATTTTCGTGTGGATATATTTAGTATTTTTGGAGTTATTGCCCTTGACTTAGTAAAATTTTGCAATTTTCAACTTGTGTCGCACGTAACTCAAAAAGTATTTGACCTAGAGTCATGAAACTTTACAGGAATGTTGATCAGCATATGTAGTTGTGCACCTGGGTATTTTCGTGTGGATATTTTTAGTATTTTTGGAGTTATTGCCCTTGACTTAGTAAAATCTTGCAATTTTCAACATGTGTCGCACGTAACTCAAAAAGTATTTGACCTAGAGTCATGTAACTTTACAGGAATATTGATCAGCATGTGCAGTTGTGCACCAGGTATTTTTGTCTGGATTTATTTAGTATTTTTAGAGTTATTGCCCTTCACTTAGAAAATTTTTGCAATTTTCAACTTGTGTCGCAAGTTACTCAAAAAGGATTTGACATAGTCATTAAACCTTATGGGCAGGTTGCTCAGCATATTTAGAGTTGCACCTGGGGTTCGCTTGTGGATTTATCCAGTATTTGTAGAGTTATTTCCCTTGACTTAGTAAAAAGATTGACAGAACAGTGGCGCGGTGGGGGCACCCGTGTCCTATGGACACATTTCTAGTTTTGACTTAGAATTTACCTTAAAGTTTTTGTAATAGTTCAAATATTTTCAAAGTCCATTGACATATGGCTTTGAAACTTTGCACACTTGTTCACCATCATGACCACAACCTGTAAACAGGAGGCGGTAACTGTATCAAGCATTTTGACAGAATTATGCCCCTTTTTCGACTTAGAATTTACGTTAAAGTTTTTGTAATAGTTCGAATATTTTCAAAGTCCATTGACATAAGGCTTTGAAACTTTGCACACTTTATCACCATCATGACCCCAACCTGTAGACAGGAGGAGGTAACTGTATCAAGCATTTTGACAGAATTATGCCCCTTTTTCGACTTAGAATTTACTTTAAAGTTTTTGTAATAGTTCAAATATTTTCAAAGTCCATTGACATATGGCTTTGAAACTTTGTACACTTGTTCACCATCATGACCCCAACCTGTAGACAGGAGGAGGTAACTGTATCAAGCATTTTGACAGAATTATGCCCCTTTTATGACTTAGAATTTACGTTAAAGTTTTTGTAATACCTCAAATATTTTCAAAGTCCATTGACATAAGGCTTTGAAACATGTTGGAATTTTATACTCTTCTTTGATAGCATAATAGGACTCTCTCCAATGCCTATAACTGTAATATGGATTTAAAGAAAAATTTTGCCTTTTTCTTTACTGACAAAATTTTACCTTTTAATCAAGGCTTTTTTTACTATCAAGCACTAAGAATAGTCGAGCGTTGCTGTCCTACTGACAGCTCTTGTTGGACTTAGAATTTTCGTTAAAGTTTGCAAACTATCACAAATATTTTTTGGCTCATGTATACATGTAAATACTAACTAAAATAGTTTATACATTCAATAAGGAAAAACTACCATTTTATTAAGTAATACACTTTTCAGGTACTGGGCACGGAACTATGTTGGTTGGCCAAAGTTTGGATTTTTCTTACCAAACAAATCTCATGTAGCATTGGCGGAGTGGGAAAGAAAGGGCAAAGTTCATTGGTTGATCACACAGAATGTGGATGCTCTTCATTATAAAGCTGGGAGTAAAAATGTTACAGAACTTCATGGCAGTGCTCACAGGTAGTGTTATATAAATTTTAATTTCTTAATTGGTTTGTTAATTGTTTTGATACATGCTAATTTTTTATACCCCTGCACAACAAAGTTGTAAGGGGGGTATACTAGCTTGTCTGTCCGGCTGACTGGCGTCCGTCAGTTTTTTCTTATCCGCCCAATAACTTAAGATTCCTTTGACCCACAGTCTTCAAATTTGGCATGGAGGTAAGTCATGATTAGTAGATGGTCTTCCCTATAGATTTTGAGATCACCAGGTCAAAGGTCAAGGTCACAGGGGCCTTGACTTCAAAAAGCTTGTCTGCCCAATAACTTAAGATTCCTTTGACCCACAGTCTTCATATTTGGCATGGAGGTAAGTCATGGTTAGTAGATGACCCCTATCGATTTTGAGGTCACCAGGTTAAAGGTCAAGGTCACAAGGGGCCTTGACTTCAAAAAGTTTGTCCGCCTAATAACTTAAGATTCCTTTGACCCACAGTCTGCATATTTGGCATGGAGGTTAGTTATGATTAGTAGATGACCACTATTGATTTTGAAGTCACCAGGTCAAAAGTCAAGCTCACAGGTGCCTTGACTTCAAGGGCTTGTCTGCCCAATTACTTAAGGTTCCTTTGACCCAGTCTTCATATTTGGCATGCAGGTTAGTCATGATAGATGACCACTATTGATTATGAGGTCACTTGGTCAATGGTCAAGGTCATTGGGGCTTTTATTACAATAAGCTTGTCTGCTCAAATGCTTAAGGATGCCTGTCCACAGTGTATTGAGTTTTACAATTGCACATTTGAAGCATATATTTATGTTCTCATATATTCATGATAAAACACCTCCAGGCAGAGCTTGAATGGGGGGGGGGTATTGAAGTCATTTAATGGCAGTTTCAGTTTTGAGGTCAGTAGGTCAAAGGAAAAGGTCACTTTGATCTTTGCCACTAAAAACATGTAGAATACATAACTTAGCAATGCACTGGCTTACTTCCCTCAGATTTGGCTGGGAGGTTGTCCTTGAGCTCTAAATGACTACTGTTGATTCTGACAAAGTGGTATGCGGGGGTATTCACCCCATGACAGTGGCAGTTCTAGTTATGATCATTTTACTTTACCATGATAAATATTCTCAATATTTACTCCTGATATTTATATTTAAAGAGCTCCAGGGCATAAAAGATAGGTTTATAGCTATATTATGAGGGAAAGGTAGCTGGTGTTTTTAAAAGTATTTTGCCAACTTAAAGTTGTGTTAAGTGGCAGACAGCATAATATATTCTATCTTCCATACTCTTGTACTGAAAGAATTCACCCATTAATCAAAAAAAAAAACCTAAGAAAATGTGCATACAATGCATTTATAATATCACAAGAGCTTGCTGTTAACAGCCTTTTGTGTAGGTAGTGTTAATAAGCTGAATATATATTTAATTAAATTTATAGATAAATGCATTGTTCATGTCCAAAAATTTTGATTCCAACTTATGGATTAAGGTATAGATCTATTAAAAGGAGCTGTATTGGTTCTAGAAAGGTGTGT